CTAATTGCATGGCCCAGAGGCAGCTGCTGACTCAAGATCTCTACTGTACTGCAGCACCTCTCGTGAACTTGAGAACAGTAGATGAGGAAAGCACTGGAATTGTTACATGAGGAAAGGTTCCTCTGTAAGCAGGCAAGCAATTCTGGGTATTTTAGCCTACCTGGACCTGAGGGAATTGGTCTCAAATCTCATTCAGGATGGGCACCAGTTGAGAATTTAGTTCCTTAAAGCCAGTGGGAACGACACCTACTGCCGCCATGTGCTTTCCTCAGGAAAGCTCTCCTGTGCCTTGTCCAGGAGTTGCCAGGGGCCAGTGCCAGCGCCAGGCCAGAGCTGACAGCAGAGGTGCCTCACTCTCAGCCCTGAAGACTGAGAAGAGGGACCTCTCTGCACCTGGCTGCTTGATCTCTCACAGAGGCATGATGGCAGCTGTCATGGTGTAAGAGAATTCACCAGCCCTTCCTCCTTGCTCCCACGGCTGCGGCGCAGAGCACTCCCTGGGCACTCAGGCTGGAGTGCGCGTGGCACACAGATCCTGGCCTCCTGCCTCCCCCAGCCCTGAATTTCTCTGGGGAGAGGAGGGAAAAGGAAGAAGTAATAGGAAAATGTTACGCAAGGGTTTGCTGAAATTGCTTGCTCAGCACACCTATGACACGCCTGAGAGCCTCGTGAAGTCCTTGCAAAACCTGCATGCTTTTCATGTCCTCTAAAGTAGGTATACTTGCATTTTTCATATGACATAATCCTTCTGTCATCTGGGAAAGTAAATAGAGATCACTCACTGGGGTTTTTTTCCCCCTAAGGGTAATAGATTTACTCTGTCACTAATTCAGGGTTCTTGACTTCTAGAAATTGATGTCATTTGCAGTACACACAGATGGACTGAACTGAGTCAACTTGTTAAAATTGTAATTACTTGTAAGTTAAAAAAAAAAGCCACAGCCTGTGCTGCAAGAAGGGAGCAGGCTGAAGAAGCAACAATGGCCTTGTTCCAGAGAAGGGCAACGCATTCCTTCAAAGGCTGCACCTACGTGACTTGAGCGAGGGAGCCTCGCTGGCTTTAGTCAGTAAGCAAGGAAACAAGTGAGTCACCGTACAGTCACACCAAGGCGTTATTACCCAAAACACCTTTCAGTGAAAGCGAGTCATAATCTGGAATTGGTGACAAGCCAGATCTGTTCTGATTCATCCATTTACACTCAGCCATGGCAAAGGCCGTCGGGGTGGCTGGGCTGCCTCTCCTGTTTGGGACATTCCCGTCGGCCCCTGTTCTCTGTTTCTCGCCAGCCATCCACCTTGGGATTTCTCCGTAACTGGCCAACACATTTCTTTCTTTTCTTTTTTAATGACTTTTCATTAGCAAATAACTGGCCTGCATGTACCAACTACTGAGTTGTTACTGCTTGGCCTTGTACTACCCTCCTCTTTTTCAAAGACAAGGTTTGTGAGTCCTTCCGCCCCATTTTGCCTTCACCCGCGGTGGGAGGCGCACCAGCATGGCCCCAGCTGCAGAAACCCACAGGTACAGCATCGCACAACTAACCCATCATAAAGCAATTGTACATTAATTGCATAGAATTTCATGACCTGTTAGATGCCAAACAAACAGCCCTGTCCATACCCTCTCCAGCTGGTTACAATTCACCAGCTATGAAATCACTAGCTCTGCATGAAACCGCAGCAGCAGCCCCCGAGCAGGTCATGCCACCCTGCTCTGCCCACCCAAGGCATCTCTGGTGGTGGTACCCTGGGAAACATACAGCCCAAAAAATGCATTATTCTACACTAGCTGCACACTAAGGCACAGCAGTTTGCATGCGATGAGGGTGGCAGCACAGGCCTGGCTCTGAGCTTAGGTATTTATTTCAGTCCTTCTCTCAGTTCTGTACTGACACGCTTCATTTTGGACTGAATGCTCCAGAGCAGATGTTTTCCAGCACGTGGCAGTCTGAGCCCAGTGACACAGGGCAAGTTAGGCTGGGAGGCAGCCGCAGTAAGTGAGTGGAATTAACTCCCAGGGTGCTGTTACATGTGACAGCAGAAACAGAGCAGAGCTGGCAGGCAGAGCTGTGGTTTTAGACATGCCAGCGCATTGTGGCTTTGGATCCAGTGTGGTTTGGGTGGCGATGGCTTTGCCTAAGGCACCCATCTTCTGCTGCACAGTCAGCACACCCTGCTACTCACTTCTGAGGTGTATTGGTGCCAACGCTACCATCGTTTTTTCCACTATTACCTGTTTTATACTACAAAGATGAATAGTACTGGCATAGGCTTGGATTAAAAACATTGAATCTTTACTGGTGAAACTTCAACTCACATACATACATCTTCACAAGAAAAAAAAGAGACAAATACTAGTTTACACACCAGCTGTACGGATTGGGCAAACTGGTATGCAACCAGCCATTCCATCTAACAAGAACAACCCAAGACAAGCAAAGCACCTTGTTTTCCCCAGCGGTGACACAACTCCCACACCACCTGTGGCTGCGGTAAGACTCATCCCACTTACCCAGGCACAGGTGCGTTGAAGCCCCTCAAATGCAGCATTCCAGAGCCACCCAGGCAGAGGCTGCCAGAGCAGCACCCACTTCGCCAAGATGGTAAGCAAGCAATGGAGGAACACACGTGGATCAAAAACATTCTCTAGACTACAGCAGCTCACGCAGTTTACTAATCCACTTACTTACATCATTCTGAAGTTCTGCCTAAGAAATGGCTACCTCAACCATTAAACAAAAAGCTACTTTAGCAGCTGCCAGCCATGACAAGTTTTAAGCACGAATGAACAAGTTTGACCTGTGCAAAGGAGTAACTGAGAGTTTGCAAATTAACATGCATCCACACAACAGCATTAGGTGTTTGAGGCAACCAAGTTGACATTTCTACTGCTTTCTGTTTGGATCAATTATGCAATGTGACCTTGACCAGCGCTGGTCAGCAGGAGAACACGCTCCCAGCGCCCTGCCCTTACGCAGTGAACACCAGGAGTAACAAACTGCATCAACGCGCACAGGGCAGGTTATGTGTCAATCAAGAGATCACTTTTATTAACCAGATTTTCCATTTCTGTCACACACCATGAATGTTTATACAATGAAAAAGCCAAACATTGCTGGAAGCAATAAGAACCAGCTGATATTTCTGTACCCTCTTAACACACACACACACACAACACACACACGGGTTCTTTCTTGGTGAGAAATTTTTATATTTCTGTTCATTAATTCTGCTTATTTATACTGCTACTCTTAAAATTCTGTGTCAAGATTGTCACATCTTAAATACAGATTAAGTTGCTAGAGGTACATTTTTTTATATATATATATTTATATACACACATACAGAAAAATACAAGACTAATTGTTTTTCCACAATATTTAATTTATACACTACTGTAACTATATGCAACTTTTTAAAGACACGTTAAGGGGTACAAGAAACTGTTTACTTGCTCTAAATAGTTTGGTCCAATATTATCTTAATGTAGTGGTTATTCTCGCCCTTCCTTTTAACGTGACAATGTAATACAACATACACCACATGCACAATCATTCACCTATCAACAAAGGGGTAACAGACAGCACTCGGACAAACACCTGTACGCCCAAAGGTTCAACCCACCACACACAACTATAAGGCTATAATACAACTATGCAGCATAAATGGTCAACACTGCTGTTCTAAAGTGAGCACCATATATACAGTCTTATATAAAAAACATCGGGAACAAAATACACCTGGGGTTAGTTAAAAGGTGCCATTCCAAGGCTGTACATAATATCAGGAAAGAGTATTTACAATACTTGGAAAAAAGCTGCAACAAATAAGTTTATTGCCAATGCCCTTTATAAACTTGTCTCCTACTTGGATGTTACGCTCACCGTCTGTGAACCACACATCTCATTTCTGGCCCTTGGTAAGATCCCTGCTTAAAAACTTCAAGCAAATATGTTCTATGGCTTCACCCACACATCTATTCTTGTAGCTTTTGATTTATAAATACCACACTGACTGAATTGCAACTAGAGTTTAAAACCTAAAGAAGTAAAATGCTTAGCCTTTGCCTTCCTCAGGAAGCAGAATGCAAAATCCTGGGCTAGGCTAGCCAGTAGGAATACCCTATGCGATTTGGACTCTTAGTAAAGTCTTTTACTCATCAAAAAGAGCTGTCACAAGCTGTAGAAGTTACGACCAAGCGTAACGCCGTTCTTTGGTGCTCTGCTCACTCTGCGGCGGACATGAAAGGCGTTGCGTTTGACCCTTCCGCAAGTGTTACAAGACACTCACCAGCGTAAATTCCTCTCAGGCCTCCGATGTCTGCCCAGGGCGCTGCTACATAATACCACCAGTTTCACTAGCATTGCTTAGAAGACCCAGTGCACAGCATGAAAAAATAAACCATTCTTGCCCTTCCCAAAACTAGGAATCTGCAATATATTTTATTCTAGATAATAAAATTCCACAAAGTTAATTCATCTGGTCAAAAGTATCCTTTTGTACAGAAATACTCTAAATCGAGACCTTGCCATGGCAATGGGAAACTCGACTGAAAGGCTCAGAGCTGTAAAATAAACACTCTCCTATATGATATTTTTAATTAACTCTATGAAGAAGCATGATTACTGAGGGGAAAAAAGTGGTATACATGTGGGAAACAGCAGTATTTTAAGTCTTAAAAAGAATAATAATGAGAAAAATGTAGACAATAACAATTTCAATTTGAATCCAATTACCTAAAGGTTTTCCATCCCTTATTGCCTTTTGAAATCTCAGGGAGGGGGGGAACAGATAGGGGAGAAAGTTTACAGGGTAAAAGCCTAAAACATTAAGTGTCATGATATACTAATAACAAAAGTAATTCATACAAATACTTTATTTTCAGTTAGCATGTAAAAATGCAGAAGTTACCTGTTTATATTAAAAAAAGAAGATTGTCTGCTTGTAATATTAACATATTTCTATGGGAGAAAAGCTGCCTTACAGATCTACTTGCCTTTTTTTTGTTGCTGTTTTTAAAAAGAAAACTGCTTCTAGCAAAACAAGATCTTTTCCCTTTGCTTTTTGAGCCACAACTTTATCCATATCATAGCTTAAGACAAATAGGTGTGGGTTTAAAATCATATTTCAAGATCGCTAATTTTCAGTGCATCTTTGCTTTGTACAAGCCTTGGAACATCTGAAAGCTCCCTGAAGAGTTTTCAGCATCAAAACATTATTGCTTTGGTTCTGTTTCAGACACATAGAAGTATGCCACACATCACGTATTTTAGATATCACAGAAGGTCAGAACAAGAATTAACGTTTCACAAGCAAACAAAAGCTTCTCTCTCTAGTTGAAGTGCAGAATATGAAACTTCTAAGTGCTCCATTTACATTAGGATCCAGATAGTCTTTTTAATTTAATCCAGATCTTCCGTAGTAAAATTATAAATGTAAAAATTACACAATAAAATATTCTGTTGTGTTGAAAAAGAAAAACGTATCGGCTAGCAGCATGCAAAGACCATGCATTGTCATACCATCAAGCAAACACAAAATTAAAGTGTAATAAATAACTGCTCAAAGCCCACTTAAAAATCTTAAGACAACAAAAGGGGGTCCGGTGACAAGGTGTTCACAGCTCTGAACAGGAAGAATGATGCCGTCAAGTAGATCGAGCTATTAAAGTCAGGTCACTGTCAAATGACGTGACAACAACTGGTTTGACTGGAGGTACACAGCAGCCCCTCCTTTGGGTTCCGCTGAATATTCACAGATATCGTCTTTTCACAGAGAGGTAGTTGTAGCACATTGTTTTTCAAGTTCCTGTTTGCTGTGTCTGACATTTGGTCAGAAAAAAATTTCAGGTTGCCCAACGATGAAGCCTGGTTTGCGCTTCCGCTGGAACTTATACACATTTTCCACGTTGATTTCTCCTGTACTTTCACACTGGAAAAGGACAGACTGTTTTGAGGATCAATAATGTATTTAGTGCTGCCATGAATCTGTGAACCTAGGCAAAGGCTCATTAGCTTCAGGCTTTCAACCAGTTCACCCGCACTTCTAGATGATAACTGCATTGAGTTTCCAGATCCAGCGCATCTCCGAGTGGAACCTGAAGTGTTGTTGGTGCTACCACTGGAGCTACCGGAGGGACTCCCCCCACCTTTGCTGTTATCGCCTGGGCTCGTTTTGTCTACCCCTCCGTTTCCATTACTTGGTTTGCTTTGCCCACCACCATCTCCTTGGCTGCCTGGTGGCCCTTCACTGCTATCCCGTCTGTGCCAGGAGTAAGTAAACCCACTATCTTTGTCTAAGCGTCTCCTGCTTTCCGAGTCATCGTCACTTGTTTCAGAGCTACTGCAACTAGAGCCCCGCCCCTGGCTTTTCCTCCTGTGATAGCGTTTATGGACTGTGCTAGGTGAAGCAATATTCATTTTTAACCTGCTGAGCTTTGGGGGTAAGTTCTCATCCATGTCAAACTCGTCATCTGACTCACCCTCCTCAAAGATCTGATTGAGGACTGGTGCACTCTTCCTCGAAGTAAGACGATTTGTAACTGAAGGCTTACGGCGCAGGACAACTTGAGTAGAAAGCGAGATAGGTTTCTTATCTTCTTCATCCTCCTCTTCATCTTCTTCTACTCTGAACAAGCACTTCCGGCCACTTGTAGTGGGTTTTAAGCTCACTGATGGGACTGCTGAAAGTGCTGGTCCAGCTAATTCAGGGATATCTTCTTTCTTTGCTGAATCACCAAGCGTCTTGCTTCTATGGCCATTGAGAACATTCTCAGCCGTGCGAGCTGGTGACTGAGGAACAGTTGCATGGGAGAGAGGAGAAGCTGTAAGGTCATCCTCGAGGTCTTGGGGTACGTCGATTTTTGTTGGCCACGATTGCCTATGTAAACAATTACAAAGGATAAAAGAAAAGTTAGATCATGGCAAGCATTTTAGAACACACAAGAAAATGTAAGATCTGCACAAGAGAAGCACAAGCACTGCCACAGGAATTGGCCTGCCAAGCAGCATGTTTGTAAATAACAGTACTGAGTAACTGAGGAAAAGGAAACATTCTCAGAGAATGTGCGTTCCTTTAGAAATGCTGTTATTTGAAAGAAACATCATATATACAAAAGTCTAGTTTAGAAATTATGTTGGTTACTGTCAAATGGAATCTTAAGATCTCACTGCTCTCAGAAAATGAATTAAGCAATAAACTTCAAATAAATGTGTCTCAAAGAAAATAATCTGAGGAGGTATGGAACCAGCAGTACCTAGAGGAAGATACAAGCTGATTCAAGCACAACTTAAATAAGACAGTATTGCAAACTACTTTTAATCTGAAGCTTCTGTTATTTTTTTTCCCCAGTATTCTTAATATAAAAATTAGGTTAGAATTAACATGAGTAAGACTGAAAAGTTGAGTTGGAAGAAACATTCTCTTATTTTCAGTAACTCTCATTCAGACCTAACTCTATTCTACAAAGTCCCCTTTAATTTTAAACACACGTGAATTGAGATCACACACGTATTTGATCTTAGCTGAGCAACTGGAATAATATAGCTGCATGAATTCAGGACTCAAGCTGCTTAAGAATATGACACTTGAATAAACTGTAAATCAAAGTTCAAAATGTATGACTGCATACTAGCATTATCTCAAATCAAAAGTAATACTTGAGTGTAAATCAGTTTTACAGTTCACAGCTGATGTCTCAACTCCAGTATCTAAGCTAGTATCTAATGAGTTGTATTTTACTTTAAATCCTGAAATACATTGTAAATTTTGCATAATGCACTCAGAATAAATTAAGAACAAAGACTTGTCAGTCTTTCCCCTCTCTCTGGATTTTGAAAACCTAATCTAGAAGATCAACATCTACAGACCAACACCTTAACACTGGCTTTACTTTTAACTTTTTTTTAGTATGCTAAAATTAGCATACTGCATGGAAAGCTGTAGTAGAGACCTCTGTTCACATATAGATAGCATATTACAAGGCATTCCCAACCATATTTTGGGTCTGCCAAAAGGGCTGCATGACTTTGCAGCCCAGTTTAGAAACAAGGTGCAGGAAGAAAGCAAGGGAGGAAGCAAAGAATTTCACGCCAACCATGACCCGAGATATCTGCTTAGACAACCTGCATACAAAGACGGAAGGATCATACCAACTGCCTGATCTCTGCTGTGATAAGAGGTCAAGCTGAAGAAACAAGGAAAGCTCAGACGCCTCTTTCATATTCTTATTCTAAACATGTTCTTTTGAAGTGTTTAAAATTAATGGAAGCACCTGCAGTGGATCTCCACTTCAGGATCCTGAAGTGCGAGATGCCCGTCTACATGGGTGACAATTGACAACTATCTTCCCAACTGTTTGAACTTTGAAGAAGAGTACTTTATTGTAACCACCATTAAACACATCAAGCCTAACGGCAGACTTTGTTTTGATTTGCTTAACAAACCAGTGATACAAAAATCCACCAGGTTCCTCTAACAGTAGGACCTGGCTGCCAGCACACCCGTGTAAGCATATGTAGTCCATTCCCTGGGCAGAGCCACACAGGCTCCTCCCTGGGCACTGGGAGCTGCTGGTGCCCTCCCACCAGTTTGCCTCCAGTAAGCAGCTCTGCCCAGAGGGAGGCTGCACAACCAGCAGCTCCAACCCAAGCTGTCCAGACAAGAAGGGGAGCCCAGGCTGTGGTCCTCCGTGGTTTGACACTGGCATCCTCCCTTAGGCCCCAGCTGATTCCAGAAACACTGGGAACCACTGACCTAGTTTTCTGATGACTTGTGCTATGCTGGTTATTTTAAACACAAACAACTGTCAGTGATTAACAAATAGAACTTAAATAAATTAGAAACATAACTACAAGAAGTGACAGAAAATGAAGATCTAAATGTTCTAAGAATTTACTGTGCTTTAAGAACAGGCTGGTTTGTCAACAAAAAAAGGAACAGGGTTCTGTGGCTGTCACAATAAAGGGTAAATATACCATCTAACAGTGCTGTAGTTTCCAGGCAATAAGCCTCCTCACTACAGTATGTTTATCTCTCATAGCAGCCCATGTTTGCCTCCCTTCCCTTCCCCTGCTCCCCTTATTCCCCGTAGGCCGGAGGGGGAAGTGGCACAGAAGAGGTTGGTCCAGGTTGCAAGTAAGTTAAATTTATTATTTTTTTTAATCTTTTGAAGTCTCAAAATCAAAGTAATGCACTACTTTTTTGTCTTTTCCATGAGGTCATTCTAGATAAACACATTGAATTTAGAACCATCATGAAGACAAGGAAGAGCTACCTGGGACCATTAAGGGCAAGGGTTTCTGAGTTTATGCAGATGTCCTTGTCGTGAAAAGAAAATTCATACTCGTAAGGCAGGCTTCAACTACTCCATTCAACTTTACAAATTCATATTAAGATTCAGATTCAATGAACTTGTTTTTTCCAATTCCTCATAACTGGAGCAGCTCTTCTGCTGAAACTGTGACACTGATGCAGAAGAAAAAACCAAAACAATTTAAAAGCAGACTTTGTAGATTTAGAATTTTCATTTGAAGGTAAACTCAAAAATTTCCTGTAAAGGCACTTCTTTCATAACTAAGTATTAGGCACATTTGATGCTCTGCTTGGACTTCTTTTTTTAAAAGAAATGGACATAAAATAAGAGGATGATCCATTAAAAGAGAACTGCAGAGTGAAAGCTACAGTATGACCCTTGAAGAGAGGTAAGCTCTGTAACACCAAGCTGCAGACCACTGAGGTTCTGTAGGCAACCCTTAGCTGCCTGCAACAGTAATTCTTCCAAAGCACTTGCCACGGAAGATAAAATTTCCCACATAAAAGCTCATTCACTCAATGGTCGCTTAAGTGGAGCAACGAGATTTCAGTCTGCTCTAGTACACAACACAGGCTGCAGTCTTGTCTGGAGATGACAAAGATGCTGAGAACCACTGTAGGGTTCTAAGAGAAACAACTCATCATTCAAGTAGATCGAATGGTTTTTGGAAGAGACTCTTCTAAAAGCCTCCAAAATCTCAGCCTAAATCCAAGGTAACAATCAATGGAGATGATGCATCTTTAACCTATTTTCCAAAGTGCATGCCCCTAATTGATAACAAGTGTCCATTTTTTCTAGACTGAACTTGAGGCAATAATACCTTACTTTTTATCAGTTAGGCCAAGGAAAACATGCATATGCACCAGAAGAACCTCATAGAACTTATGTCCCTATTATCATTCCTGTTAAATTATTTCACATGCGACCTTGCATGAAAGTTGCACAAAAGAAACCTTTCAAATGAAAAAGCTATTTTTTCTTTTACTTTAAATCCTACCGATAGATTAACAATGCATCTGGCTGAATGTAGACAGCAACTCTAAACATCAGCACAAGCACTTAATATTCTCTTGTTAAGAGATTAGCTACTAACAATTGTTATTATTACTAATAATAGCTACCAATAACATTTTACTAAAAACTAAAAGGCAACTTTTGAAGAGACTGGAGGTTAGAGAACAAAAAAATAAATTAATGGAAATGCCTCGGCACAACCTCCATCTTCACTGAAAAGATTGTCAAGATGGGCCAATAAAGATTTTTTTCAATACCAGCAGATCCCTAGTCAAAGTCTAACACTTAACTCAGGAAATTAAAACCAGAATGTTCAAGAAAAATAATTGTTCAAAACATGCATCCTCCAATATCAATGTGCAGGTGGAAATGATACTATTTGCCTCATGTTTGTTTTGTGGGTTTTTTTAAAGCATATGCTGCTGTAACTGAAAATATGGGATACTTTGATAACTGGTTGCAGAGCAAATGGACTGGTTGAACATACCAATACCAAATAGATGCCAGAACCCCACTTCCCCCTTTAGTTTTACTGTGTTACAAGCCAATGCTTTGAAAAATGTTAGGGAACCTTACTATAAGGTGGGGTTTTTTAATCACGTTTTTGTCAAACTAAAAAAAAAAAACTATTGCAATATCTTTCAATGAGTGATTAAAGCAATTACTTCAACAGTTTTCTTTAGACAACAGGCATATCAATTGATATTAAAAAGAACACAATCTATAGATGCTTGCTCTAAGCTTGATTTAGGGGATGTTTGGCCCATTAAAAACAAATGCTCGTAACGGAACAACAACAAATTCAGAGTGATTTCTCATTTATAACTAATTCCCCATCAACATATTTATGGATTATGGAACTGAATTTTTTCCAGGGACATTACATACAGAAATTGTATGAGGAACTGAAGGTCAATGAGCATGCCCTTTCCTAGCATGTGTGAAAACTTACTAGTTCAGATACAGACTTCAAATTGATTAGGCATTTCCTGAAAATGGTTAAGAACTGAAAATATCATTGCTAACTGATTTCTAACAGCTTCTGATGCGTCCACAGCACTTTAAAGACATTTAAAATTTGAATAAGTATTTTACTTTTTTTAAGAAAGAAGTACTTGAGCAATTAAATAATATTCTCATTAAGCCAGGTTAATAAAAAAAGAAACCATTTAGATTCCTAAAGTCTTACCTGAACTGAGCTTTGATGTTGCTAGGGCTTGCAGATCTGGTCTGAATTTCTTTCTCTTGTTTTTCTCGCAGAATCCTTTCAGCTAGTAAGAAGTAAGTAGCAGTGATGTGATTGTATTTGTTAGTTTCCAATGCCCTAAGGAAAGTACAAAACATGAAATAAACCATACATCAATGGTTTTTAGAGAACTGGACATGCATCTCACACACCTTGCTGTACTTCTCATAGCAGAAAGAGTGCTTGAAAACAGAACTGTGTGTTTTTGATGTTTTGACAGGCATGTCTTGGTTTTATTAAAAATAAAGAGACAACAAGTCTAGCTATTTCAAGTTGGATAAGGATATCTTTAGAATAGCATCGCCCCAAAATTAAGTAATTCTTCCTTTACTGAACATTCTTTAAATGGTAAAATTGTATTTCATTAATGTTATGCATCAATGGTAGGCTTTCCCACTGGCATATAAAACCACAAAGTACTAATATTTGTTTATGCAACAACTGGAGGAAAAAACCTTCATGATTTTAGGGCTGCCACATTACGTTTACAGTAAAATTAAGTTCATAAGCCAGTAAGCACCATTCAGACATTCTAACAGAAAGGATGCCACTGTTACACAGCGAAAAGCTTAAAAAGCAAGACTGCTGCTCCCCCCTGCCCCACCAAATGGTAAGATAGTAACAGTTTTTGCAGCTTAAACAGAACAAATGGAAAAACAATTTTAAGTCCTTTCTGGATTTTGGAAATCTTTTAGAAAGTTGGGTGTTTTAATCTATTAGAAAAAAACCTATGTAGCTTTCTAGCAAGCTCACTCAGTGACAATGACTATTTTGCATTATATAGATAAAAGGAGTAATATTTTAAATTAACAAAGATTCAGGTATACTGGAAATGTACTAAGGGAAAAATGCTACAATTTTATCACCTCCAAATATGCATGAGATATGAAGCACAGGTAAAAGCACAGATTTCAAAGCAGTTAACTCAAGATGGCAAAGTACTGCAGGAACCAAACACTGTTCCAACACATTTTCTTCAAGTTTTTCCTAAGGTTGCATGTACTTAAGTGCTTCTCATACAAGAACATCTTATCACAGAGCAAAATTGTAATATTCTGTTTGTTAACTGAATGGCTTGATATTTAAACACTCAAGTACCCAGGTTCTCATGACATCCTTTAATCAAAAATGACAGATGCAAAAACAAACTGCACATTGAAATTTGACAACTTACTCCACTATTGTATCTCGGTCTGCAATATCACCGAGAACCATACGTTGTATTATACTGTTGTGCTCCTCCTCAGACAGGTTTTTGTATGACACAAGAGGAATATTGTACTTTGTTGCAGGAGATGGATCAACTCCTTGGAGCCATGCATGGTTTTCAATCTCTTCCAAAGATGCCCTTCGCTTCGGGTCTCTCTGCAACATCCGTGTAATTAGACTGCAAATAAAAAAAATAAATCCAAAAATGCACTCATGTGTTTAAAAAGCAGCCATTGCAAGAGCAACATTAGGAAGAAATTTTCTGCTGTCAGTCCACACAGATCTTTAGAAGTCTCTACAGTAAACAATGCGATGGGAAATTATTTATTCTCAAAGACACTCCAAATATTGCTGAACTGAAACAAACAACTTACTAAAAACTATAAATATAAACACTGTAGTTTTCATTTACTATGCTTAGATTCTTAACCCAACTTTTCTGGTTTGTTTGTTTTTAATAGGTCTTATAAGGCAACTGTCATAGATGGCCTACAGGCCAGTCTGTAAAGGAAAAGAAATATAATTTTCTATTATTGCTGCTGTCAACAAGAATATGGAATGGCAAGATAAGTAGAGATATTTTAATCTGAAATAGCTATCAGTCATTTGATTCTTCAGTATCCTGGAAATAACAGTGATCCCCACAGAGGGGAAACAAACAAAACAAAACACTGTCTGGGATGATGAAGTGACAAACCTACTAATGGGTTGATACTGAGGGTTTACAAGTGCTGGAAAGGAAGTGCATAAATTCCGCAAATAAGCAGAGAAAGAAGAGTTGATTAGCACAGCACATCTCTGTTCACTTACTATACGTGAAAAATTCTTGTGGGAGGTATTCTTGGCTTTGCACAACAAACAGAACATGAATATACAGCTTTAGTGCCAAGGTTTCAATAAAATTTTATTGCTCCAACATGTGGAATGAAAGTTCTGCAGTTCTCACCTAACACTTTTTATTGCACTAACTATACTACACCATGCAACTTCAAACTGCAAGGCCAGACAAATCACAAAGGTAATAACAATTATTTTTTTTTAGTGTGAGATGATGTATGGAATTAAAAATGGAGGCTAATTCAGACTTCTCAAAACTCTACTGTAAAAAAAAGAATGTCACCTATATACTTAGTAGCTGTGGTCTCTGCCTTTACCAAAAGGAAAGGCAGGGTGAGACATGGGAGCCTTGATTTTCTGTGCTTTTGTTAATGTTATGACAGAAAGGGAACAAACTATATACTTCATTTGACTTTTTTTAAACTACACCTGTAGTAAAACTACACAAGTGTACCACATGTGCCTCCTCCTTTAAGCTTGCTTACGCATCCCAAACCACCAAGAATGCTTTTGCACCAAGCAGGAAGTTTAAACATTCACACAGTCTTTTCCTTAAGAAAACCTAACCTATAGAGGACTTGAGTTGTACATTGCTGATGCACCACAGAGAAAGCAGATCTACTTGGGCCTTTAAGCAAATTAGAATTAGCCAATATATTAAGCAAAAGGCTGCAAAAAGTAAGTTTCCTGGCCTCAGCACAGCATGCAGCATCTCAACAGATTTATCCGATAGAATTCACTGATAAGAGCTCTCTTTTAAACCTCTTCCTGTATTGTATTTTAAACTTCTTCCTGTATGTAAAGCTCTTCAAGCTATTGAGAGCAGCGATAGCAGCTTTTCCATGTTACCAGAAATGCTAGACACTAACGACAAGACATGAAAACCAGCTATAGCATCATGTTATGCATTAGACTCCTGGACCACACAGATGACACGTGAAGAGAAGAACAGTCATTATGGCCACAGCTGTAACAAATTTCATTCTGTGTCAAATAATAGAATCATAGATGCTGCTCTAGTTTTTTGACTGGACCAAATGCATTTTTTAAGCATTTATAAAGAACTTTCATATTGAAAATGAAAAGGTAGTCTATTGCAGATCCAAGAACCCAGCCCAACATTGTAAAATAGTCTAAGTGATGCAATTGGCATATATATTAAAAGGACCGAAGAGGTCATTAACTGATAGGGAAACACAGGAAATACTGAAATATATCAAAAAAATAAAAAAGTTGCAGCAAACACTGCAGAAAAACAACACATCAACATGAGTCATGATTCCCAAGCGGCATATGGTATTTGCAGACAGAATATTTTTCTCCCTTGATTGCCTAGAATATTGAGTTGC